ATTGGTTAGTGATGCGCACTTTGCCTCCCCTACCACCCCCACCCCCCCCCACCCCGCCCAAATCGGTTATGGATCACGTAGTTTCTCCACGCCCGGGACAATGTCGAACTGAAGTGGGAAAAGAACGGGTTCCGATTGTACACACAAACACACAGATAGAGAGAGAAACTGGTGTTTGAATTGTGATCACTTTGGCCATGCATTGGCTGATGATCACTCTAACCCAATATCTTGAACATTCAACGCTTCCGAATTCACCTTGTGTTTTGTACGCGACTGTACGATCAGTTCTGCTTCACGGTTGTGAGACCTTGAATTTGCGGGTAGAAGACATCCATCGCCTAGTGGTTTTCGACAATCGATGCTTACTTAGTCTGGTCCAAGTGGGATGAAGTGAACGGGTTAGTAACTTAGACGTAAGTCGCCCGGTGTTTGGGAACAAGAATTCGCTATCGCGTCGAGCTCAGTTCAACAGGCTTCGTTGGTTAGGACCCGTTTTGCGTATATCCGACGACCACCAAATGACGTGGATACGAGGCATGAAAGAACGAGCGGAGCGATTAGGTAGAGTATGTGTCTCTCGTCTTCCGGATTGGGGTTCAAAAGACTCCAAAACCGCACGGTTGGAGACACTGAAGGTCATAGCTGCGAATCGGCAGCAATGACGATTATGCTGTCACTTCTTATCGGACCACAATGCTTGAAACAGTATGTATGCACAGCTGGACTGTGTGATGACAATAGAGGTTCGCTTTCCTTTCCCGTCCCTAAAAAGTGGTCCAATCCCTGTCCTTCTTAAACATTCTTACTTACCTTGTATGCAATAGGAGTGTGGTAACGATCAGTGACGTTCGTGTCACTGTATTAGGCAGTAAAATGATAATGATGATTATATGCGAACCAATTGTGGCTGGCATGGCTAAATCAAGTTTGGCTGTGCAAAGAAATCTACGCCGGTCAACTGGTAAAAGATGTTTGATTGGGCCATGCATTCATTTCAATCGCCTTACTTGGAAAATTATGTTGAAGAAAAAAACGGAACAATGTGACCTGTGTTTTGCAGTTCCAACAATGATTTGCCCGGTAATGACTGTGATAATGGTCAGGGACAAAGTCCGAGTTGAAATATACGAAGAGTCCCGTTACCAAGGCAACGTCAGATAAGAAATGACAGCATTGACAGACAACACAACACGATAAAGAACAAATCACACTGAGAACGGGCAAGACAGGAGTAGAATATATATATATATTATATATATATATATATATATATATATATATACAGAGAGAGATTGAACGAGGGAAATATGTTCTCTCATCAATTAGATTAGTGTGTTCATTGTGAGCGAAATCGATAGCCCTTAATTCCTGTTCGAAACGTTGGAAACAAGCATTAGTTCATTAACTGAATAGGATAACGTGAATTAGGAACTGATTCAAAGTTAGTATTAATTATCTTTGCATTCAGCAAATTGGAGGTAGCAAGAGTGGAGCGATGAAGGGCTGTATTGCAGCTGTGAAAAAGAATGGTTGCGTTGGTGGTGTTGAGTTCTCTGAGCTGGAAGTGTTGTTCGCAAACGTCTCGTAGCCAAGTTAGGCAGCATCACCAGTGCGGCTTCGCGGAAGCGTCAGTCCTCATTGGGATCGAAGTTATATAGTTATGTTTGAACGTTTCGATTGGCTATTTGCATCCCTTTAATCCTATTGGTCAATAGCAACCGTTTGATTTGATTCG